GAGTGTTAATATTGGAACTTTTTTGACATATTCGGAATTCTATGAAAGAAATTTAGATTATAGAGAGTTTTTGTTTTGGTTTTTCCCGATTTATGAATGAAATTGTGGGGCTTTTGCAGTTTGAAGTCTTTAATGGAATCAGGAGCAGGATCATCTGTTGAGCAAGCTGCAGCAGCTACTACTTCATGGATAGCGAATTTGGCTACAGGAGATTCCACTAGAAGAAGCCAACCATTTTCAGCTTCCAACTCTGCATTTTTTGTAGCTGTCACTTTCATTATTCTTTCCTATTTGGTCTCATAGACTCTCTCTTCTCTGTCCCTTTCTTCCTCCAATTTGAGAGACACAACAAATAGGATCAGCAGCTTCAATTAATTCGTGTAAAAATTCATCATCATTAATCTTGAAATCTATGTAAATTAGTAGTAGCATTTTAATCATTTTCTTCCACTCCTTTTTGTGGTTCATTTTTATAATCATGATGAAAAGTGGGGTGGGGAAATGAAGGACATTCCCCACATGCAAAGAACAAAATGGTCATTTAAATTTATTACTAGTACTGAGACTAGTGGGTGTTGATGCCCTTTACCATTTTGCTGACTCAGACTTACTAACCAATTGCAAGAAAAACAACCCCATAATGTAACACATTAAAAAAAAAAAAAAAAAAAAAAAAAAAAAAAAAAGCTAGGTAAGAAAGAGAAGAATTGAAAGGCCATTTTGAAAATCAAAAGGCAAAGGTCACACATGAAAATACCTCTTTTCATCTCTAGTTTCCTTTTCTGTCACTTTGAAAAATAATCATAATTTTTTCCCCCAAGATATGAATATTTAATTAAAGGATAAAGTTAGGAGACAGATCACGAGGTAGGACTGTTAAAGTTAGAAACTTTGAAAACCCCTAAATTGATTTTTAAAAAAAGCTACAAATAGAATAAACTGTTAATTAAAAGTTAAAAATATGTTTTTTTTATTTTGTTTAATTTGATTTTTAATTTATACATTTAATATTTAACCGAGGCAAATTCTAGACAAGGGTGTGTTTGGAAGATTTTATTTATAACTTATTTAGATTTGTTTTATAACATAAACACCTGAATATCATGGTGATATTGAAAAGATTGGAAGGCGAGATTGAGAGAAGAATGAAAAGAAGATAAAAGTAACCTGTTCCTGTTTAAAGAAAAAATACAATAAAATCTAGGAGTAAAAAAATGGGGAGTAAGACTATTAAGAGTAACACATTTAGTACATATAATAAGAACTGAATCTTTTAAGCTATGACTTCTTTTTCTTTAATGAACTAGTCAGTTTAGTTCTCATTGTGTGTTTAAACTGAGGAAAAGAAATACCTACTAGATTAAGGTGCAGTATTGTATCTAGTTGGAGGGACATGAAGGGGGTTTTTACAAACTTTTCTTATTTGATTCAATTTTTAAGAGAAAAATAAAAGGGAATAGAGAGTAGAGAAAAACTCCTCCTCATTTAATTTTTGCTCTTTTACAATATTAGGAAAATTTGGAAAGAATGTAAGGAATTTTAAAATATTTTAGTATAATGTCTAAAATAACTTTACTTATGTTTTAAATTTAAAATTATAAAAAGATAAAGATAAATTAGTTTTTAAAATCCTTCCTCTTTCTTTGTGAACCAAACAATAAAAGAATTACCTACTATCTTCTCCTTTCTTTTCAACTAAAAAATGTTTCTAACTCTTCCATTCCCTTTCCCTCTCATTTTCTCCGATACCATTAAAGAAAGTAAAAATGTTAGAAATTTTACATTAAGTAGATAAAAAAAAACTCAATGTTGTATTTAAGCAATGAAACTCTTCTAACTAATTACTAATCTTTTAAGTTGAGTTATTTACATGCTTAAATCCTAATAAAGAACTACATAAATTTCTATTTCACACTTATGTGAGGGAAAAGATAGAGAACATTTCTTTCACTTAGAAATATAAAATTATTCATGAAATAACATATTTCATCCGTTTAGGAAGCTTTTGTGACATCCTCTACCTCACATGCTAATAAATCATATATAATATAAAAGAAATAACATGGGAGTTCAACATAATCTCAATAAACAATAATTATTTTTCAAATCCCTTTAGATAGAGGTATCACATATGGAACATAACTAAAACTAATATGAGCTAAAATGTGTAACCGAGCAAGGTATTACAACCGATGAAAACTAACATCAAATCCTACTCATGATGAAACTAAGAAAATATGAAATCTTAAACTGTCACTCTAACGTCACATCCAATCAAATCTTGACACAACACCAATTCCTAAGGCCTAAGCATCATCTCTAATATCATCCTCAAGATGATTCTAACTTGCAAAACATAAGCAAGAATACAAGACAAACAAAAAGGAAATGAGAAACATCTCACAATGACTACCAGTGTAAGATATGGTCAAATAGCCACACACAAGATAAACCATATGTATATGTATATATCTATGTGTGTATATATATATACACACACATACATACATATATACACATATACATTCATACATAGATACATACATACACACACATATACATGTATAAACAAGTAATATAAAGTAGGTATACAACACATTTATCATAATAAAGCAATCACAACTCGTTCACTTAACACATCAAATTCATGGTTCACATCAATGTTATGGACATAGACTTCATAAAACATTTCAACTATTGCCCGAAGGGACACATAGAGTAACATAGGAGAACATGTTGTTTTAAAACATTACGGAACTCTACACTAAGAGGAGATACACCAAGTCATGTCGGGATAGCAATACCGACATACTTATACTTCATTCACACAAACGAGCAAAATTGGGAGGTTCCAAACCTGGTTATTCCTAAGGCTATGAATCACTAAGCTTACACAAGGGATACATTCTCTAACAATGTATTTCGTATCTTACTTGTCACAAAACACTTTATACACATGATGCATGTCACACAAGACTCGATGCATATTCATATCACATATATTCATCATCACAAGTTCATGTTATACATTACAAGCAAGTCATATCACAACTAGGCAACTACACCCAAAATTTCATCCTAACTAAGCCTTGACTTAAACTTTACATTGCATGACCATCACATGATCAAATAACATATCATACATCACTATGGATAACAACCGAGATAAGCACAAGTTAGGATCACCATTATTTACATACAATCCAATAATACATTAACATACCATACTTAATTAATTAGCATAAATCATACAACTTATTACATAAATCAACACACCACATCATACATATATAGAACAAGTAGTAAACACAGGTATGGTGGCCCTCGACATTAGGAACCTACACTTGATGCAATCTAGGTAGATAGCATACGTTTCTCTCTGGGTCCCTTGTATCGAAAGTCTTCCTAACAATGGGTCCATATATGGAGGAGTGTCCTCCTAGAGTAACATGGAGAATTAGGAAGCGTATCCCGTTCACGATGGAACGATGGTGCAAGTACTTAGAGCGTGACTAAGCTCGGCGGTGTAAGCACTTAGAGCATGAATGAGCTCTATGGGCCACCATTGGATAATACTCGTGGATCAATAGTTTCCGCTGTAGGGGGTAGAACCATGGTCCTTTGTTTGAGGGGAGGATTGTTGGGGTGCAAGCAAAGTCCCACATCATTCAAACAAGAGGATAGACATGGGTTTATATATATACACAATTGTCTTCATTGGTAGAAAGGTCTTTTGGGTGGTATCCAAAAGCAAAATCATGAGGGCTAGGCCCAAAGCAGACAATATCTTACCAATGTAGAGATATGTGTATGTGCATGGTAATCGCTTGGTGCTCAACACCATAAACACTCATAAATTCATGATTTCATGCAATTGCACGAAATTAAACATGCCTACATATCAATTATTGCAAATAGAGTATATAAGAAGAATACATATAGAACACAAAATCATGGTTTACAAACAAATTTTAGGATTTCTCCATCACAACATACATAAGTAAAAAAGAGATTGGAATCAATCTTTCTATCATACAAATATCTCACACTCCAAAGCAAGACTACTCATTTCCTCTTACATCGGTGAACGCTAAACGTAAATAATGGATCTCTTGGAACCTGTAGTTCTCCAAGTTTTTAAGATGCACATAAGTGTAAAGTAAGACAAGTGTAAAACAAATTAATGTTAGTTACACTTTGTTTCCTTTAATTAATTAAAACTTATCAACAATATATGAAATAAACATATTTCTTCTAATACAATATTAATAAATTAATTTTAAAATTTTTTATTTATAAATATTTGTATTTATAAAACATCTCAATTAATTAATCAAAACTCTTATTAGTTTATTTAAAAAAAAAAAAAAAAAAAAGGTATTTATCTGTTGAAAATAATTTGTTCTCTTCACGTTAAGTCTGACTAAGACCTGCATCAATATATTTCACACTATGGGTGGAAAGGAGATATAACAATATTTTTTAAACTAGCAATAAATGTAACATTTCTCACAAAATAACATATTATTCATTCGTTTAGTAAGCTTTCATCTCTTGAAAATACTGAAATATTTTGTAATGTTGATTTGGGCACAAATTTATTTATTAATTCATCTATTGAAATATTAGAATTAACTATGCTACGAGCTTGCATTTATTTAAACCCTTTTTTTTTTAATATTGTACTGAATTTTATTCTCTCTCTCTCCTCTCTCCCTCGTTCTTTCTGTCTCTCTTTTCACAGCACACATCACTTGTAAAACAAATTTTTAGCACCAATAATGTCAAATTTCTAATAATTGAAGTTCCTGTATGATCATTACTAGTAAAAAATGATCTAAAAAATTAAATTAAAAAAATAACAAATAATAAAACATCGTCATTACTGTATGATTAATAATATTTCAAATATTTAAATATATTTTTAATTTATATAATATATAGACTATGTTGGGAAGAGAATACCCATCTTTTATATATTCACGGTCCCCAATGAAAATTAGTCACATTTCTAACTACTTTCCATGACAGAGACTTTATATAATACCATGATTTAAAAAATAAAGCATGTTAATTTTCATTAAGTTGATTTAATTTAGGTTTAAAAAAATGAATCCAACCTAAATAATGGGTTTAACTAAATTATACCTAACAACTTCTAGTATTTGTGTTTTTATTTAATAAGCATCGCCCCACAGAAAAAAGAAAAAGAAAAATATATACTATATGTGCTGGTTCAACACTCGACTTATATTTTACTTAATGAAATTTCATTTATCTTTCAAGAAGTAAATATTCAATCCTTAAAACAAAAGATGATAAAAACTGAAAGTTAATTAATCAACCTGATTCAAATGGGGGAAAAAATCATATTGGATTAACTCAAATTAAATATCTTTTTAAATCAAACATTTCTAACTTGAGTATGTATATACAAAGTGAATTGTAAACCTGAATAATTTGTAACCGCCCATTT